TCGTCACCTGTCCTTAGGTACCCAGATTTTTCTAAACCTTTTACATTGGTTACAGATGCTAGTGACATAGGTCTAGGTGCTGCATTACTTCAAACAGAAGGTCACAGAGATCACGCAATAGCTTATGCTAGCCGCACATTATCTAAAGAAGAGAAAAATTATAGTGCAACAGAACGAGAAGCCTTGGCAGTTGTCTGGGCACTTAAACATTTCAAGGATACAATTTATAATTACCCAGTTCATGTTCTTACAGATCACCAACCATTAATTCCCTTGTTCAAAAATAAGAATCCATTTGGAAAGTTTGCTAGATATTTGCTCACAATTCAAGAATTCAATCCCACATTTGGATATATTCCAGGAAAGCAAAATGTTGTAGCCGATGCGTTTTCTCGACACGTAGCTGCGATTCAGTTAAATTACCCAGCATTAGATGCTACAGTAGTAGAAACGGAACAAAGACAAGACCCCATATGGGCACCCGTCATTAAATTTTTGACTAAGCAAGACACTCGCCCGATTCATAAACCGCCAGTACCATTGAAAGAACTAGTTATGTTGGACAATTTACTGTGTAGAGTTTTAAAGCTAGGGACAGCCCCGAGGAAATGTTGTCAGTTAGTTGTTCCAGCTGTCTTGGTACCAACTGTGTTAAAAATTATCCATGATGCTCCTGCAAGTGCACATCCAGGAAAGGATCGTACACTCCAACAAGGTCGATTGAAATATTTTTGGCCAAAAATGGCTAAGGAGATTGCTCATTATGTTGACAGATGTTTAACTTGTTTACAGCACAAGGGACATGTTTCAGGACCTAATCCAATTCAGGTGTACCCAGCAACTAAAGCTCCTTGGGAACGAATATCGATGGATTTATTGACAAATTTTGCGGAAACAGAGAAAGGGAACAAACATTTGCTTGTAATGGTCGATAATTTTTCACGGTTTTGCGAACTAGTTCCTATCCCGAACAAAACAGCAGAAACCATAGCCAGCGCATTCCATGACCAAATAATTTGTAGATATAGTATGCCTAAAGTAATCCTTTCAGATAATGGTCCAGAATTCAGTAATAGTATTCTAACTAGCTTGTGTGATTTATATAACATAAAAAAATGTAGCATCATGCCTTATCATCCGGCAAGTAATGGACTAGCCGAACGTACTAACAGGAAAGTATTAGATGCCTTGAGAGTCACGTTGAATTTTGATAACAACAATTGGGAGGATTTTATACCCTTAATTCAGTGTGCTATAAATTCTTCAATTAATGTTTCTACAGGTGACACACCTCACGCTATTCTTTATGGTACAGATAAGATCCTCCCTAATGAATTGATTAACGTACCTCCTACTCCCTTATATAACGTAGATGATTTTGTTCAAGTGAAGCGTAGACAAATGCAATTAGTATTCAAGAAAATACGAGAACAACTGTCCAAAGCAACAGCCGAGTTCACTCTAGCAAGAAATGCACGAACTAAACCCAGTAAAATAACTATTGGATCTGTAGTAATGATACTTAACCAACACAGGTCTGGTCCTATGTACAAGTTAACTAAGAAATTTTTGGGTCCATATAAGGTAATCGAGCTTATTAAAGGTAACAAATACAGACTTAAGAACTTGTTAACAGGAGAGTATATAAATGAACATTTAGACCACATGAAGTTAGCTAAAATGACTGTTGACGAGACTGATGAGGAAGATGACAATGAACTTACCCAGACAGATACTCCTACTCTGACACAACCTTCTGTGGTTGACAGACCACTGGATGTTCAGCAACCCCATACTAGCAATTATAATCTTAGGTCTAGACCTCTCGTTTCAACCGTGCACTCACCACATGTCCATTGGCTAGATGTTAACGAGTATATCTCTCAAGATGATAGTTTGTCACATGAAGTTTCATCTGTTCCGAACCTTCAGTCAGAGCCATAGTTGTATAGTGCTCTGGATGAGCTAGGTGTAGATATCCGCAGAATTTATAATTGGGTGCACTCTGCAGTTATTCTGTTTGTTTTGAAAAAAAAAAATCATTTGCAGTATTTCTACCACATGTGTCTTATCATTACCATTATATATAATGTATAGTTTTTATCAACTTTATTTTGTTATAAATTAGATGCCATTGTTAAGTCTACTACCATTTGTATTTTTACAGTGCTTGTCATAAGAGTTATTATTGTTCTAGCAACCACATTGTGGCCAGTGAATCCTGACTGCTATCACGCAGATGTTAGTCTTCTTGATCCAGGTCTTGTATATAGCTTGTAAATATATGGCACATTAAATATATTGTACATTGGTCTTGTAAATATATTGTATAGTTCAAAGAGAAAAAAAAAAAAAAGGAGAAAAAAAAATCATTATCTATCTTGAAATTCATTTGTGGTTGTTAGGTCAGAACTTTGTTCCATTAATGTAATAATTGTTTAATTTTGTATGGTTTTCAAGCACATGCCATTGACACATGTTAATAATTTTGTTTAGGCAATACCTTGAGTTGTATTGTTCATATCTGATCAGTAGACATACACATGTTCTTAATACTCTGGTTTAATCAAAGCTTGTTACCATGATTTTCACCTATTATGATGATTTTTTTTTTTTTGGTGCATATATGCCGAGTTGTTAGTATTACGCACACCTGATCTTCTTTCAATGTTTTATTATGCAAATTTCACATGTAAGCCATTATTGAATGCCACCGAGGTCCTTTCAGTATCATTGTAACTATATAGCTAGCCAGAGCTTGTCGACAAGGGACGTCGACTTGGTAGCGTGTCCGAGCGGTGTTATACTCAAATTCTATGTCAGTTGAAATGTAACCAATCACAGGCAAGTAGGCCTCTGACGTCATGCCAGACAGAGGAGCATCAAGTTATGCTCCCAGCAGCCTCAGTTATCCTCACAGACTCAGAGTAGAAGGACCTCGGCTAGGCCAGATATATACCTTGTTGTCTCGGTCAATAAATATATACAGAAGCGACTACAGTGTCTACATTCAACCCGAACAAGGCAAACGAATATATCCGCACTTGTCCCATCTCCCGTAAAAGTATTCCTTATTCCGACATTTACACAGTTATTCATGCCTCCATCCTTGCCCGCTGGCAGAGTTGTTGGTCTTCTGTTATTCGTAACAAACAACGTACTCTTAAGAGTCGTGTCCCAGTGGCCTTCCTCCTGCCACCGTAACCGACGGTGGGAGTGTCCACCGGCGGACAAGTGTCCAAGGGACACTTGTCCCTTGGACTTCAATTAGATCAAATTTTCAATTAATTACGTTAATCCCTCTGTCACACAGACAGTAACAATCAATGAGTAATTATGTTAACACTGCCACACAGAAAGTAACAATCAATAACTAATTACGTTAGCACTATCAAACCTGCCTCATGGCATTAGGCACACGGATGCTCACGATAACCACAGATTGTAATACTAGGCAGTCACGTTGCTTCTGCAGTGATCGCGTGGTGGGCACTTTCCTCTCTTCTTAAATGACTTGTATCTAAGATGAATATCAACTAACGCAAACCGGATTTTGCAGTGAAATGCGCTAGATGAAATTAGACGGATGATGAGACATTAATTAACGTCGCATTAGGCGGAAAGTCTAGTTGTATCCGGCAGCTTAGAAATTCACGTCTTGACAGACAGGCGACTATTGCAGAACTGAGGAGTGCAGCGTAGTGTACCGGGGCTCCACGGCTCCCTCCCACACTCCTCCTACATATATGTATCTAGCCCACCAGGCACTGAGGAGAGGAGAGGCCTAGTCACACAAGGAACGGTTGATCTAGCTGACTCCTTCCTGACTGTGACATTACTATAAACTAATAACCATTCTTATGTCATATCTGCAGGATAGATGTTGTTAGAAATTTTTACACTGTAAGATTCTGGCAGATGAAGTTGTGACCGCATGAGATAACAACTGGACGGGCTAATCACACAACACACAGGGACGCCATTACCAGACGGTCTGAGTGGAGACTGAGTTCACTGAGGACATGTTTCTTGCTTGTTAACCAGGATACATTCTACAAAGACAGCTTAGCTTTTGTACAAGTAATAGGAGTTAAACATTAGAATAACCCGTAGTAATAAATTTTATAAATCAATCAGTTTGATTTAGTAGAACATTCTACAATAAACCCTATAAGTTTGTGAAGGAGGTTTCTAGTGGGTTCAAATTAAACCTATTCAGTCCACTATCTAAAGAAATTCTTTAATAGCAAATTAAATATAAGTAGTTTAATAAACAAATCAATAATAATAACTAAAATAAATAACACAAATCCTACTGGTAATTTCTTCCCCAACAGCCAAGAAACTTTCATCATTAAGATATCCTTTTTACCTTTTCGACATCAGCTGTTGCGAAACGTTAATTGAAGCAGAAGCACAAACCTATTTTCATTCTGCACTACTTCCTAGTATTACCTCCCCCATATCACTCACTTGAGTGCTGGACAAGGTAGAAACCTGTGCGAGAAAACAAAGTTCTTATTGCACTGGTCAGTACATGAGAGTCTTTAACACGAGAGAGATTTTAGTGATATCTTGAGTTATCTTGAGTCCTTAATGTTATGTATAACATTCTGAAAATTTCGTATGAGACCATTTTCTAAAGCAACAGTCCATCAGCAATCATTCATTCTATGGCATTCGCATTTTAAACTTGTTCACTCAACACCAATGCTCATCAAATAAGAGTTTCTAGGTTCAAGCTTCTAATGCACTAATGTTAGGTAAACGTTATAAACATGAAGATTTATTACTAATATTAATAGCATTCTAAGTGAATCATAGTCATAATTAAATATATATATATATATATATATATATATATATATATATATATATATATATATATATATATATATATATATATATATATATATATATATATATTTGATGGAGAGAAAGAGAAACACTTATATATAAGGAGAGAGCCAGAGATATTTGATTTTTCTTTTTCTTTTCAGGAATTGGTTGGAAGTTGAAGATATCATAACTTGGAAGCGTTTAGTAAGTCATTGAGCTGTTTGTTAACATTTGTAATAATTGTTTATTTATTATCCATGTCAAAGGTTAACAATAGTTATTTATCCTGGGAAGTCTTTCATGGTGATCATTCATTAATTATATGACTCACTTTAATGGTTTGCTTTATTCTTATTATATATTGGTATCAATATTCTTAACCCTAGACCAAGTTTCTTTTAAAAACAGCCCTTTTTATTCATACACATTATCATGTAATATGTTATATATTGATATATTACGTTTTCACAACAGACATTCCTCTTGAAAATCCTAATTTCACAATGATGACAACAGAATTTTTGTTTAGGTTTGCTTTTTGTAAAAATATCAACGTTAATAGCATTATTAGTTTTCATTATTTAATTAGATTTTAGTGGTAATTAGGAATGGTAAGGGGTATAGGATGAACATAGGCTGGTCGGGGTCCCCAGAATTCAAAAGTGAATGGCATGCTAGGGCCACATTCAGACTCCTACGACGATTTTTGTCACTGCCTGCCAGCCACACTGCTAAATATTTTCAAAATAAACTTAAAAAAAAAAATCATTTTTCAAATACACCATTATACACTGATTTCGGGAAAACTAACATAAATTTCCTGATGTTCATAATTGGCCCTTACTCCCATAAAAGAGATTGTCTTCAGAGTCAGAGGTTTCCCAAGCCACGTGCCTTTCTCAGAGTAATGGGGTGTGTATTCTATTTTGTAGTAGTTCACACTACATAGCTCTCACCCACATATTAGACAATTATATTTTTTATAAGATAGAAAAACAGACAGATATTGGGGCAGACAAAGATAGAGACAGAGAGATACACATACAGAAACAAAGACATAGAGTCAGTGACAGAGAGGGATAAAGATTCAGCCCAATCTATATTTATGGTAGGATACATGGATGGATAAAGGAAATGTTGAATGAATAGTTCGATAGATAAAATATCATCCACTCTTCCGTGGAAATAACTTTCCTTATTAAGACTACTCAATAGCTCAGTCGATAGAGCTTCTGCTGCACATACGTGTAGTCCACGATTCAAGTCTCTATAGCTCTGGTGAATGGAATGGAGATGGATAGATAGATGGATGAAAATATGGATAATTATATGGATAGATATATGGATAAATAAATAAATGGATAGACGAGAGAGGGATATTAAATTTCATTTGATAATGGGATAAATAGATGGATAGATGAATAGATGAATCCACAGGTTGTTGGATAGAAATATGGATGGATAGATGGAAAGTTATATAGATGGACAGACAGATGAATGGTTTGATTGGTTGATGAATAGGTGGATGGATAGAGGGATAGATGAACAGACAGATGAATGGATTGATTGATTGCTGAATAAGTGGATGATAGAAGGAGAGATAGATGGATGAAAAGACAGATATATAAATACATAAATGTGTATATATATACATATATGGATGGATAAATTGGTAGGTAGTTGAATAAATAGTGGGGTAAATAGATGGGTGGATAGATAGTTCCATGATGATGGACACATAGATGGATAAATGGATTGATGGATGCATAAACTGATGGACAGCTGGATAGAGATATGAACAGGTGGGATCCCCCCCCCCTTTTTTGTGTGTTGCGTGTGTTTATTTTTTGTGGAAGCTATTGTGCATTAATCATTTATGTATTGTTTGAGACTGAAATTTGTTTCTAAATTTGACATTTTGTTTAATATAATTTATATTATGATACTTTATAACACTTTCCTGTACCGTTGTATTTTTGGAATGTGTGTTTGTAATTAATATGTGTAACAAAGGATATACACCGAGAGATGTATCCTGTTTCTCTATGTGTATGTGGCGAGGGTTTACTCTGGCTGTAGATTACATCCAGAGCTGAAGTATTCTTGCTGGTTGGTCAGAATGCATTAGTTGTTCACTTGATAACATTAAATGGCTTAATAACAGGTCATGATTCCCACAGGGGATATGTACACCGATAAGTGTAAACCACTTCTCAGTGTATACTCACTGAGTTTACTTTTGTCCTGGACTATGTTGAGGATTAAAGTATTCTTGCGGGTTGGTCAATATTCAGTTGTGCTGGCTTTAGTAACCCTCCAGAGGTTGATGGGCCTTAAGCTCGATCCCAAACCAAAATAATTTAGATTTACTATATTGATTGACCACTTACTAAGTCGAAATTTGGCGTTTCTCTGTTTTATGTATTTAATTTGTCATTTTCCTTATATTGCTGTCTTTTTAAATCGTTAACGTTTTGAAATTAGGTTTTTAACTTTTTTGTTAGATTTATTTTATCTGATGCTGCTAAACTTAAACAAATCTTTGCTTTATATCAACGTGTAGTTGAGAGAGTTATTTGATCCCTCTTTTGTGGTCCGCAGCTTATGGCTCATGGCTGGTCTTCTTAAATAAAATTTTATTGCTTACGTTTTTGTTGCTTGCAATAAATATGCGTCAAGCTTGAAAGGTACCCAAGCCAACATACATCAGAAAACTCTTGACCTCATGAAGGATTCAAACTCGGTCAGCCAGGACCTCCATGCCTCCTAGCGTGTCCAGTACTATATCCGTTCACCCAACAGACTCTACAAAAGTACTGGAAAGTCGTCTGACTTTTAACCCCAATACCCGACAGCGCACGTGAGTATTTTGGGCTCAGATATATTATCAAATTACTTCAGCATGCCGGGGGCTCCATAAGTAACATTTGTGCATCAAGATTAAATTGTCCCCAAACCATCGTGCATCAGAAAACTCTTATAGTACTGGACATGCCAAGGGACATGGTGTGTCGAAGGGGTTTGGCCTCCATGACCAAAATCTGATGTCTATTCTGATGTGCTTATTGGTTGTGGGGTGGTTCTTTATTCCTAAAACTGAAATACATCATCATAAAGCGCCTACCAAGGATGCACTCCGTGGCTCAGGACACTGTTTGTGAAAGTGAGATTGGTGAGGGGGTTAGGCGCTCCACTCGAGCCCCATTCCAGATTCCCAAGATCTGGCGTTCGGCTATGTGGTTGTGTTGAAAGTTGGGAGTGTCCAACCACTCCCTGGAGGCTGACCAGGTTCAAATCCTTCAGGGGGTCAAGAGTCCAAAGAGTTTCCTGATGCGTGCTGGATTGGGGACCGTTCAATCTTGACACAAAAATGTTACTCATGCGGCCACAGCATGACGAAGTGATTTGATGATATATCTGTGGCCAAATTAGTCATGAGCGCTGTCGGGAAATTGGATTTAAAAGTCAGACGAGTTTCCAATACTTTTGTACAGTTTTTTGGTTGAGTGGATATACTACTGGACACACCAAGGGGCATAGAGGGGTCAAGAGCATATATGTTGATACCAACCGAAGAATATATAAATTAATCCAGCTACATGATGAAGAATGACGACACTAAACTTCAGCGAATCCTGAGGAACCCTTTGGAAGACCTTAAACACAAAGTGACCAAAACTATCACGGCAATCAATGAAGAGAAGTGAAGTTCACCTCACTAAACTCCAATGCGACTATGGCCTTGCGTATGCATTTTGCAGTGTTAAAACCCATAAACCAGGTAACCCACTACGCCCAATCATCAGATACCAATCCCAATTTTCCAACTTGCGAAAGACTAAACGAACGTCTACCTACATACACTCCAAGAAATGACAATATGCAATCATCAGCAGACTTCATAAGAATAATCAAGACTACATAGCCCGAGGTAATTACTGCTTCACTGGACGTTGAATCCCAATTTACCAACGTCCCGGTCGATACCACCATAGAAATGATCCTGGACAGAGTATACAGAGACAAGAGCACCCCTAAATTAGACATACCCAAGCAACACTAGAAGAGCATTCTCGAGGCATGTACAAAGGAAGCTCCTTTTATCAGTTCGCAAGGTAACATGTATCTACAGGTAGATAGAGTATCAATGGGCTCCCCCCTAAGAGCGATATTTGCTAATTCTTACATGGGAACCGTCGAGGAAAGAGTCTTCAGTTGCAGACAAAATCCGATTGCATACTGCCGTTATGTCGATGATATATTCGTAATAGTAAAAGACCTAGAAGAACTAATTGTTCTAAAAAGCCGTCTAGAGAGAGAGTCAGGACTCCAATTTATACATGAAAATAGTAACAATGACAGTCTGCCATTCCTAGATGTGTTAAAAACAACAGTAGCAGCATCTCTAAGTACATGCGAATATTGCCAAGCCACGAACATAGGATTATGCCTAAACTGTAGGAGTGAGGTTAGATATTAAGGCAGTTTTCTCAACACTTATACTCGTCGAGCCCTTACCCACTGCTCTGAATGGAGCAAAGTGTGTAGGACGTTAGAAAGGATAACACAAGTACTGGTGAACAATGGTTATAGTAACCATGAGGAAAACACTAACCAAGAGATACTTTAAGACGACACCTGGACCTGTAGTACAACCCAGAACCATGAACAGAAACCACAACACCTTCACTAAAATTATATTACAAATCCACCATGCACAGCGGATATAAGAAAGAGGAAAGAATAATGAAAAAAAATAATCTGTAAAAGAGTAAAAAGCACAAGTCCTCACCTAAACTTTGACATTATCATATACTATAAACAAAAGAAGGCCACTGACCTTCTCATTAGAAACAGCCGGAAGCCAACTGAGAATCCTTTGCAGCAGTCGAACATGGTAAATATTTACACCTGCTCGTATGAAGGATGTAATCTTTAATTTTAATACGTAGGTATGACAGCGAACAAGCTCACGAGGTGCTTGACATGTCATCTTCAATCAGGTGGCCGTAAAATGCATATGAGACAAGCTCATGGCATCACCCAAACAAGAGAAATGCTAAATAAAAACACTTGCATAATAGACAAAACCTAAGATGTAAGAAGATTACTGTTGACATTATCTGACAATCTGAGTCAGAAAGAAAGTAACACACACACAAACAAAAAGAAAAACAAACAGGAAAACAGAGTGACAGAAACAGACAGACAGGAAGACTGGGGTGAGGTAAATCTTCTGGGACTCAATTATTACCTATAAATCGTTCATATGTGTGAGGCCTCCCGTTATGAAATATTATTATGGAATTTGATCCCATATACTTGCTCCGCCTCAACTATAATAAACTCCAGCACATTTGATCCCATATACTTGCTCCGCCTCAACTATAATAAACTCCAGCACATTTGATCCCATATACTTGCTCCGCCTCAACTATAATAAACTCCAGCACATTTGATCCCATATACTTGCTCTGCCTCAACTATAGTCAACTCCAGCACATTTGATCCCATATACTTGCTCTGCCTCAACTATAATAAACTCCAGCACATTTGATCCCATATACTTGCTCTGCCTCAACTATAGTCAACTCCAGCACATTACAAATTGTCGTCCTTCGTCTGCCTATTTTCTAACTTTCTCAAAGTGTATTGCATATTCCTGTGTGCTTAAAAAGCAGTGAAGTATAGTCAAATTTTTACTTAGATTTTGATCACATGTGAGTATTCTTTTGTTTCAGAGGAAGACATTTCGTATTGAAGGCATCCCACGCACTAATTTATACATTGAAGCTACATGGCATGAACTCGTAAGCCAGGTTGGATTATTGCCAATGGTTTGTATATAATTTAAATTTTTCAAATTTAGAAGTTTTGAGTTATATATTATTAATAGATCCGCTGTGACCTGAAACCATTCACAGGGATTATCCTCAGTACATTCTCTGAAGCATATCATATTTCTTCTCTAACTAAACCCTCTCATGAAATTGTCCAGTAGCCACAAATATTAAACTTGTCCCAAAATTCCTAAAGAATTCCTGTCCCAAAGTCTGCCTGTGAAGTGGCAGTGACAGAATTCGGGACTGGCTAACGGGAAGAGACGACTGACAGTTAAGATGCTACGGAGGAGTGTAAGCAGCGAGTTGCAAGAAGCTCCTGCCAGGGGTTCGCTACCCTTGTATTTGTTCGTGAAGAGGCCCAGCAGCGCGAGGCTGATGTTCTCTGCCAGCACCAGGCTGGAGAGTGATTGTGGGCGTTCACGAAGAGCACCTAGTGAGACTGTGTTTTGGCTGGCCCGTGTCCAGGGTAGACTCGTTGGTGTTTCCCAGTACTGGTTGAGGACGGTATTGTGTGTTGAGGAAACACGGTAGCTGACAAGACTGCATCGACTGAGCATCGAATAGCGCTTAGTGTCCTATGAGAGAGACACTTGTGTACATATTAAGTGTAGTAATACTTCTTCTAGGGCTACATATGAGGTGATGGGAAAGTGATTATATATGAATATATTGATAATTAATGGAGTGTAGTATTCAATGCACCTTCCCCAGTGTGTTTTACTTGCATTACCGAGATCACACCTTGAAAGCCACTACTAACTTGGGGCCGGATACCAGAACTTTAGTACCACCAGAAAAGAACCAGGTTGCGACCCATTGTGGCCGTAACAGAAGGACTGGAGGACAGGGAAGGTTGCTGTGGCTCTGCAATGCACATGCGTTGCTGAGCCACAGCAAAGCGTGGCCGGGTACTGCTAGTCTATATAAATAAAAATGGAAATGTTCGTTTGTTCAAAATCGCTAATCTCCGAATATTCTTGACCGATTGCTTTGAAATTTACAAATAAATTTTCGTTCGCATCCGACCAGGTTTTTATGTGCATTCTATATATATGTCACGTCTGTGACGGTAACAAAACCTGCTTTTTCTGAAAACTATGTGTTTCATGTGAAGGAAATCTTTACCGATTGCTTTGAAATTTTGACACAACGTTGCATTCGAATAGGCGCGTCATTATATATGCCTACTATATACGTGCCTGACCTGTGACAGGAAATAACATGCTTTTTTTTTAAACAGCGCCATCTGTTGCACATAATGGCAACATGCACACTATACTAAATATATCACGGATTCAATGTCAATGTTTCCGATTGCATTGATAAATTTTATTTTCATCGATTTTGATTTATTTTATTTTTTAGTGAATTATTTTGTGTGACATTGTGTTGGAATTGAGCTGTGTTGTTTACCATACCGTTCATTTCGTAAGTATAAGTATAGATGCCACACCTGTGACAGTTAAAACTTTTCCTTGAAAAATAGCGCCATCTGTTGCATGTAAGAGCAACATACATGCTATGCTAGACATGTTACAATTCCATTTCAATGTCTCTGATTGCATTGATAAACTGATTTTTCATAGATTTTGATTTATTTTCATTTTGATTTAATTATTTTATGTGAATTGCGTTGGAATTGAGCTGTGTTGTTTACCACACCATTCATTTCATGAGTATTGTTTAATTCTATATCTTTTCATATTTTCATTAAATTTTTTAACTGTTTTTCTTATATTTCAGTGATGGAAACAGTGATTTTAGTGATTTCTTATATTTCAGCAATGCACATGCGTTGCTGAGCTACAGCAACGCATGGTCTGGTACTGTTAGTGTCTATATAAATAAAAATGGAAATGTTCGTTTGTTCATAATCGCTAATTTTCGAAAGTTCTTCACCGATTGCTTTGAAATTTTCACACAACGTTCCATTCGCATCCGAGCAGGTTTTTATATGCATACAATATAGATGTCACGTCTGTGACAGTAAAAAAGCATGTTTAAAAAAATTGTGTTTTCCATACTTTTTTCATGTGAGAAAAATCTTCGAAACTTCTTTACCGATTGCTTTGAAATTTTGATACAACGTTGCATTCGAATAGGCGCGTCTTTTTGTATACCTACTTTATACATGCCTCACCTGTGACTGGAAAAAACATGCTTTTTTTTAAAAAGGCCGCCATCTGTTGGATGTAAGAGGAATACACGCTGTAATCTCCAAAAGTTCTTCACTGATTTCTTTGAAATTTTGACACAAAGTTCCATTCGAATACGCGTGTGTTTTTATATACTTACTATATAGATGCCACCCCTGGTAACAGGTAAAAACATACATTTTTGAAAAACAGCGCTATCTGTTGCACATACGACCAACACATGCAATACTAAATATGTTATGATTCAATTTCAATGTTTTTGATTTAATTGATAAACGGAATTTTCATAAATTTTGATTAATTTTCATTTTGTTTTTTCTATTTTGTGTGACATTGCGTTGGAATTGAGCTGGTTTGTTTACCATACCGTTCATTTCGTGAGTATAGGTTATTTTTTTATATTTTCATTATTTTTATTTCGTGTTTTGAACTGTTTTCCTTATACATCAGTGATGGGAACAGCTGGGTCCAGATTCATGAAGCAGTTACGCAAGTACTTACGAACGTGTTCATTGTTTCTCAGTATTTTACGGCTTTGGTTACATTTATTAAACAATTTACAAGCATGAAAACTTGCCAATCAACTGTTGTTATTGTTATAAACAGACTCTTGGTGCTTCAGAGCTCATTAACTGTTTAATAATTGTAAACAAAGCCGCCAAAGATTGAGAAAAGATGTACAGGTTCGTAAATGTTTGCGTAACTTTTTCGTGAATCTAGCCCCAGAAACAGTTTTCCTTTTTCCCAGAATAGGAAAACTGTTCCCAATTTTCTGATGGGAACATCAGATCATTTGATCATCAGACGAGGGAGTGGGGAATGGTGAGGAAAGACGAGTTGACGGGCGTGGGGAATGGTGGGGAGGACCAAGGGATGGGGGAGGTGGGGAATGGTAGGAAGGACGAGGGGATGATGGGGGAGGAAAAAGAGACGAGGGAGCGAGGAATGGTTGGGAGAACGAGGGGACGGGGGAGAATTGGGAATGGTGGGGAGGACTGGGAGACAGGGGAAGGTTGCTGCTGAGCCACAGAAACGCGTGGCCGGCTACAGATAGTATAAAAATAAAAATGGAAATATTCGTTTGTGCATAACTGCTAATCTCCGAAAGTTCTTCACCGATTGCTTTAAAATTTTCACACAACGTTCCATTTGCATCCGAGCAGGTTTATATATGCATACTATATAGATGTCACGTTTGTGACGGTAAATAACATGTATTTTCTGAAAAAAAAACTGTTTTTTCACGTGTTTTCCATGAGAAGGAAATCTAAAAAACCTCTTTACCGATTGCTTTGAATTTTTGACACAATGTTGCATTGGAATAGACGCATATTTTTATATATCTACTATATACATGCCTCACCTGTGACAGTCAAAAATATGCATTTTTTGAAAAACTGCGCCATCTGTTGGACGTAAGAGCAACACACTCTGTTATTTCCGAAAGTCCTTCACCGATTGCTTTGAAATTTTGACAACGTTGCATTCGAATAGGCGAGTCTTTTTATATACCTACTATATAGATGCCACCCCTGTGACAGGTATAAACATACGTTTTTGAAAAACAGCGACATCTGTTGCACATAATACCAAATGCATGCTTTTTTTTTTTGTTTTTTTCTTTTTAGCAGGGATAATCCTGCGCGGGCCCTAAGCCTCTGGCTGGCCCACTAAGTGATGCTTGTTTCTGTTTTACGTGGGCGGAGGATGAGTATGTATGACTCGTATGGTCGCTTCTGTAAGATTTTGCCATATGTGTTTAACAACTTCCTCTGCTCTGTTGAATCGAAGGTGAAATCTTAACGGGTTTGTAACTGTGCACTGTGTTAGATAATGTTCCAGTGGTCTGTCGGGCATTTCTCCACAGTGTTGACATTTCCTCTCATCTTCCGGAACCTGTAAGCCTATTTCCCATGCACATGGGTATCCAAGCCTGATGCGATGTAAGTGCACTTCTGTTGTTCTACTGCCCCCGTTCATCAAACTAAGTGGTTCGTAATTGGTCGAATTCTTGTACCAACCCGCAGATCCTGATGTTGCAACTGCAGTGTTGTGGTCACTGTACATCTTTCGCATTGCTCTGTTTCGAATTACTTTCTTCATCTGGGATAGACTCTTTGGTATGTAAATGTCTACATTTCTCCTCCTAGTAGCAAGTTTTGCAGCTTCGTCTGCAATGTCATTACCTAATAGTCCCACATGACTTGGCACCCAGTTGATAAGTACCCGTCGGCCTTGTCGTTTGAGTGTGTGCATGAATGATAAGACATTTGTGATCAGATGGATGTTATCACATATGTGTTCTTGTTGCAAGGTTTCAATGGCGGTTCTCGAATCTGTATGGATGATAACATGTTGTCGGTGTTCAGCAAGAGCATGTTCCAAAGCCTTTTGAATGGCTAGCATCTCAGTCTGTAAAGTCGAACACCCATTTGAGAGCCTCCAACTATATACAGAGTTTCCTGCTTTAACTGCAGCTCCGGTTTCTTGTCCCTGCTGGTCTACTGACCCATCCGTGAAGTAAGTGAAGCTGTCGGATGCCATGTTTGCTTCTATATGCATCTGTGCAATGTTACGTAGCAGATGAGGACTTGTCTGGTTCTTCTTTCCGTCAAGAGCCATAATCTTAAAGTCTGCTGGCAGAGATTCCCAAGGGGCTTGTATAACAAAGTCTGCATGTATGTCGTCGACACCCCTCTCAGTGACTGTGTTTGCCATATCGAATGTATCGATGGCGTTTATCGCACAATGGGTCCACCTGTTGCCATTGGAGGCTCTTCTGTCCAGAGTTAGTGCTCCAGTGATCATATCTTTAAGTGAACTGATTCTAGGTCTAGT